AAGCAAAATATTTGTGCCATAAATGATTTCAAGGTGCATGATTACAGACCAGGCTGTCCAACTGGACATGCATGAGCGACAAACTTGAAATCCTTGATTTCAAGCTATTCTGTGCTATATCCATAAATGTAATTTCACTGTCTACTGTACGCAAAATTAGTGTGACCTGGTCTTTATTTAACGAATGATGATTCTCAGTGTAGACAGACCTACCACACTATTGAGTGTGCTTTTTTTCTGTAAGGTCAAACTTTTGTTTTATGTTAAGATGGCTGCCAGGAAACGGCAATATATTTGTGTTCCACAGAATAAAGAAAATCATAAGGTTTAGAATGATTAAATGATGAGAGATTTTTCATTTTTGAGTGAAGAATCCACGACAGAATACATATTCTGCCAGATGAATAATCTGGACTTTTGTGAAAGCCAAAGTATAGAAAGCCAGGGAATAGAAAGTTAGAGGGAAAGAAGGAACAGACAATGCAGGGGGCAGAGGAAACTCGAGGAAGAGGAACAAGAGGAAGAAGGAAGGAGTAGGAGTACCTTTTTACAGCTAACTGGCAGCTTGTAAACAGAAGAGTGAGATGCACTTTAATGTAGAGCAGGGGACACAGAGCTCAGAGACAGACAGAACGCGAAGTGTTTCAATGTGATATCACAATCACTTAAATCAGGCCACTTTGACCATAAGCTGACTCTATTAGAAGAAACTAAAACCATTGGCTAAAATGTCTCTGAATAAATTAAGAGGCTTTAGAGATCCTGGCTACAAAAAAACAATAACATTCCTGCTCTTAGACAAATTAGTACCAAGGGTTGATGGTGTTAAATGGAGTTAAACCAAAAATGAAATCTCTGTCATCATTTACTAACCCTCACATCATTCCAAACCCTTTTGTTTTCTGTACCTCCAATGAAAGTCCAATTCATCAAAACTTTCAAGCTTCAAAGAGTACATAAAGACATTGTCAAAGAAATCCATATGAATGAGCAGTTTAATCCAAGTCTCCTAAAAAACATGATTAACTCATATGATGAAAAGATCCAAATTAGGCTTTTATGCACAAATGTACAACACTGATCAACGCACATACATACAGATCATCAAATATGGTCAATGAAAGGTCTACCGTACTTGCGTGACAGTAAAAACAAGCATGAAAAACTTGGTTCTTGCATGTCAAACAAGCATGCCTGCATTTCTGCTTACCATATTTCACGTGACCTGTGTTTGCGTGTTGATCAATGTCTATGTCTGTGAATAAAAGCCTAATTAAATCTATTTATGACAAAGTACTTGTGTCTTGATTAAACTGCTCGATTCATACAGATTATTTTTACATTATCTTCATGAACTTTTTAAAACATAAAAGTGGAATGGGCTTTAATTGGAGGAGCAGAAATCTCTCAGGTTTCTTTAAAAAATATCTTCATCTGTGTTTCGAAGATGAAAAAGTCTTGCGGTTGGGTTTAGAACTACACTTTTTTTTGCTTGGAAATCATTTTTGGGTGAACTATCCCTTTAAAGGAATCACTCAGCCAAAAATGAAAATGTATGTAAATGATGACAGAATTATCATTTTCTGAAGAACTATTTCATTAAAGAAAAGCATGAGAAAATGAATGGTGCCAAACCAAGAAAAGAAGAGAAGGCTGAAGCTTGCAGTAATGAGCAAAGTGTTAAAGCGCGCCAGACATGCTTGATGCAAGTAATGAAGTGTAGAGGATTAGTGTCAGATTACTTGAATAAACATGAAAGCACAATTAAAAGCTACACAAAAGCAGTGCTTCCTGTTAAATTAAATTAATTTTAAGAAAATAACATCCATTTTTTCTGACTTAAACAACAACAATTAAATGCAAGTGCATTTAGGTAAGTTAGGCACAGAGAATGAGAAAAGTGGGAGCGAGGGAGGCGTGCAAATGTAAAAAGGCAAGACTAAGTAGAGCACTAAAGGTGAATGCACTGAGGGTCTGGTGAGCTTAGAGGCTAAAGTCTTGAAAATTTGCATAAAAAATACAAGTTTTTCTTGACAGAAAATCACTGGGAATGTGCAGAGATGCTAGCCAGCTGTTCAGTTTAAGGTTTTTAAACTAATGAATGAATGGGACGACAAGGACCAGCTGGAGATCAGGTGCAGCCATGATGAACCCAGGCAAGATTTTAATATTTACCTTCTTGTTGAATGCCCAGATCTTGTCCCACTCCATATTGACTACCGATCTCGAGCCTCCCTGTAACAGAGCGGAACGGACAGAAAATGAAAAAGAATATGAATCAAATTGAGTTTGATTAAATAAATAAATCTGAAGTGTAAAGACTGCACGTGGATGAAACTATTTTTATAACTAGAAATTTATTTAAAAAAAAGACTAACTAATTTACACATTTTTTAAATATAATAATTAATTCATTCATTAAAATAGTTAAACAACTGTTTATGAGGACATAAAATTACTGTCAGTACTGTTTTATAAAATGTGTAATTTACAGTGATTTTACTAGTGTCATGCCAAAGAAAAGCCCCTACTATGGTAAAATCAGTGTAACACACAACCTTGTGGCTTAATGCGTTTGAATTCATTCCCAAAATTGATTCTAATTGTGAGAAAAACACATACCTGAGCATAAATAAATTGTTTGAGTCCCTCGACAGTCATTCCTCTACGCAGCACACCTCTGACTGTGGGGAAACGAGGGTCATCCCTGCAGGAAGGAAAGATAAGGAGAGAAAAGTTTAATCATGCAATCCAAAAGAGCTCTTTTCTATAAAGTCCAGAAAGTGAGGGTGATACACACCAGCCATCCACATAGCCCTGGTTGACAAACCAGGTGAGCTTCCTCTTGGAGAGCAAAGTGTTGTTAAGATTGAGTCTGGCGTATTCCCAGATGTACGGTTTACGCAAACCAAGGGCATCTATTACCCAGTAGAACTGCTCGTCTCTGTCGTGATACTCAGTGGTACGTAAGGCATGTGTGACCCCCTCAACGCTGTCCACAATGGGGCACGCAAAATCATATGTGGGATACACTCTGGGTGAAGGGAGTGAAAAAGAAGAGGACCATCAGTTAGAGGAAGCCATCATTTGGCACTATTCAGTAACACGATGCATGTGTGATGTTCACTCACTTGTAAGTATTGCCGGTGCGAGGATGAGGAGCGTTCTTGAAGCGGAACAGTGTGGGGTCACGCAGGCAGCCGTTGTTGGAATTCATGTCGATCTTGGCTCTCATGCAGCAGGTCTGGCCAAACTCTGTGCCCTTCTTCATTTCCTCCCACATCTGTATGTTCTTCTCCACAGCTATGTAGATAGACCACATGTTCAGTACAACAGCTCAAATCACCTTTCCTTTGGAGACAACAAATATTAAGACCGGCACTGGTGATGCTCACAGTTGCAGCGGTTGCGAGACTCCACCCTTTGCTCTCTTTCTTGTTTCATGGCGTCTGGAGGAGTGTCGTCTATATAGGCCTTGCCCTCCTGTAGAAGCTTCTCTCCCATGCGCAGGATGGTGGGAAAGTGATCACTTGTGTAGGTGAACTGGTCCGGTTTGATCTGTAGCATGGCCACGTCCTCCAAGATGACCTGTAGCAAAAAGGTGTTAGCATAGCCAAAGCGGTCTTCAAAAAATTGTTTGGATATTGTACATGTTGTAGACATGCATTGAGGCTTAGTGATCATTCCAGAGATGCTGGTTCAAATATGGTTTTCTCACACAATTAGTGTAGGGAAACCCCTTGCTTTTGTTTTTTTGGAGGTAATAGAGGATATGGACCATTTATAGAGGACAAGGACCATAATTCTGTATGAAAGGGGGCAAAATGTCATACCTTCTCAAAGTCCTCTTTCTCTTTCTCAGGATTGGTGTCATCAAAACGCATGATGAGCTTGCCCTTGAAATTGACCTGGTAGTGCTGATTGAGTAGAGCTGCCTTGGCATGACCGATGTGCAGGTATCTGAGGAGTTGGAACGATAAATACTTTAAATTACTTTATTTTGGATCAAATAAACTCAGCCTTGGTGAACATTACAGACTATGTATATTGTGACTGATGTTCATTGTATAGACCAGTGTTTCCCAACCTTTTTTCAGTCGCGGCACCCTTTGGAAAGATGTTTTTTTTTTACATTTTAGCAATTTAAAAATATTAAAAAATATTTTTTTACACGGCACCCCTGCTCTCGACAGACGGCACCCTGGGCACCCCGGTTGGGAAACACTGGTATAGACAACACTACTTACCCACTAGCCTCAGGGGGGAAACGCACCACTACTTTGCCTATCTCAGCACCAGGGAGCTCCACAAACTTTCCCAAATCCTGCTTTTTTTCCTTCTCCACAGGCTAAAAACATAGTTTGGGACAAATTAACAACTTAATTAATATAAGGTCCATGTTAATATAAGGTTCATTAATATAAGGTTCCATGTTCAACATTTAGCCAGGTTGACTTCAATTTTAACCGTAAAAATTAATGTCATTTAAAACTCAAACTTTAAATTTCTAACTTTTTTTCCCTCAACAGAATACGTAAAACTGCAAAACCTGCAATACCACATTTCCCTGGGATAGTAATATACTCACAGTGGCTTTGATGGCAGAGATCTTGCTGGCCCATTTGCTGCCCACTGAGCTGAATGGCACCTGAGAGCTCAGGAACGAAAACCAGCGGCACAGATGAGGGTAGGAGTTTGGCTTGGCCTGTGACTCGCCATTTCCTGTGGATGAAGCACCATATCGACTTTCGAGAATTATTTATATATAAATAATGTTCTAATTTGACTTATAGCTAAATGACTGACCTTTGAGAGCAGCCCAGACGCAGAGGTCAGCCAGGGTCACACTGTGACCCACCAGGAAGGTTCTCAGTGCCAGAGCTTTATCCAGATCACCCAGAGCAGAAGAGAGATCTGACTGACCACAGAGACGACGGGCACTGAACTCCAACCAGTGATCAACCTGCAAATGGCAGAACAAGATCAACAACATTAACCAATGAAATATTTGGAATTTGTTATAGAGTGCCAGTGAAACATAGTATATGATTCTTAAATCTAACCTCAGTTTGCTCCATCATGTTAGAACCATAGAGTCCCAACGCCGGAGCCACTCGGGCAAGATAACGCGTGATGGAGTTCACGTCACTGAACTGCACCTTACTGAAGGAGAAATAAGGAAATAAGACAGAATGATGCACATAAATAAGTATACAAGAAAAATATATTTTCTTTTGTCCCTAAAAGGCTTTAACTATAATACATAAAGCATGCTCATGCAGGCCCTATACTCACTCAGAGACATGGAGCATGGTGTCTTTGCCCTCCTCCACAGAGAGATTGACGCTGCCCTTCACATGCTCAGCAGTCAACAGCGCCCCTACAGGCAGAAAGGTGAATTACAGTGAAAACCGTCGATGCAAATCTAATACTGTACCTGCTGTGTGCAAAGTCATGCAAACAACTCTAAAATGAAAATGACACGTTCCTGCATTCGGTCATTTATTTCCAAATCCCAAATCCACTTTTTTTCCAATATTATTGTGCAAATACATACAAATATACTATTGCAAAAAAAACAAAAACATAACTGTCATTGATTTGTGTACAACATATTTTATGCCACCAATATTTTCCTTAAACTGATGTAACCGAACTGTCACAATAGCATGCACTTTTTAAAAAATCTTAAACATGGGGTGAGGTTGAGTGAGCAGAAAACATAAAAGAGTGCAACCTCAAATGAAACAAAAACAGACGTGCTTTCATTATAAGGTTACATTATGAGATATCAAAACAAAAACAAACTGATCAAACAGGTCCATCCAGATTCTGTGCTTATGTACTTTGCAAACCATTTATGTGGTTTATCTAGTTCATTGCCAAGAAACCTTCATTAACAACATTTATTTTATTTTTAGTCAGCTAAATGCACAAGTCAATTACATATACATAAATTTATATTTTCTGCACTTGCCCAAAAATGTGTGGTGCATTTTCCCTTGTAGAGACATATTACATGCATAATAGTTTTGATGAGTCAACCATTCTCGTGATAAGTTTATTCAATTATTAGCTTTTATAGGGTTTTATTTGTTAAATTTTATTTTTACTCCAACATTTAAATGTCTTATTCTTTTATATATGCCTGTTGACTTTTGCCGTTTATCTAAGGTGATTTTGGAAGTTTTTTTAAACGTTTCTTATTGAATTGGTTCCACATTGTTTGCTGACTTTTACTTTATTTAAACGTTGTGTCATTTTTTTATTTTATTTGACATCAAAGTTATTTGTTATTTTATATTAGGCATAGCCTGCCCTATAGCATGGTGTATTTGTTTTGTTCATAAAAGTTCTATGTTTTATGAGTTTGACGTTGTATTCTGTTGTTGCCTTCAAGCAATTGACGCCTAACTGCCGCTAATTCAAAAGTGCTATTTAAAAGCGACGGAAAGCGAGGAAAAGAGGGAAAATTCAAACGAACTAACAACGAACAATTGCTTTAGACCGAATTTCCGCTATTTCAAAGTGAACGTAAAATGCGCACGCCGCTTGTACAAGCTATTTGCTAGGAAAAGAGGGAACACCCTGCCCCGCGGTGATACCGGTATTACCGGTGTTGTCACACGTCGATTAACCGGTGGGAAAATTTCCTCACCGTCACAACCCTAATTCTCAGTGTCTTAAAGTACTATTTGTATCAACATGAACATTAAGGACTTAATAATATCCCATAATACAGTCGAATAGAAAACAATTTACAATAGAATTGTATTAATTTACTGCACTGGATACAATGAATATCAATAAGCACTATTTACAGCATTTATTAAAATATATATTTTTGAACAGAGTGTATTGAGAAACCTCCACACAGCTCTAACATACATGGCCGTTTTCTGCTTTATGCCTGCCTGCATGCAAGTTCGCAGAATTCCATTTATGATGAAAAAGAGGTCTGACAAGTAAAATTTCTGAGACACTCAATTACTGCATAAAACCAGTCACACCCATTTTGGGTTTTGGTTTACTACGTTCCCACTGGTTTTGCACACATCTGAGTAAGCGATGCCACTTCATTTCTAACTTCACTCCATTATGGGCCCATTACAACGATTACACACATGCAAACAAAGATTTCTGACAAAAAGAGTCGAATAATCCTGCTGCTCAAAGACAGGTGTGAGGTAAACAGATTCAGACATAGCTTTCAAATGACTTGCATCAGCCAGTGACACTGCTTTCTCAGCACAGGATGGCACACTTCAATTCATTTCACCAACAACAAAAGTCATTCAGCAGCTCTATTCGCATTTTTATATCTTAAATACATGGTGAAACGGCTCTGAAATCAACATAAAACAAATTAGCTCAAACAAATCCTTCGTTTTCCTCTGTATGTGACTGAAAACCTTTAAAACTCCGTCATAATCATGAAAACACGCACAAATTATACTTCTGGTTCACTTTGACTAAAGCACCAAACAACTACTACTGTCAGTGTTCTTGCTTTTTATCTATTAACAATGAAAGCAGTGGAAGTCAATTAAGCGGGGGGAAAGGGAGACAGAATTTAGATATGCCACGATGGCACGGGGTTACTCTACATGTCAGTCCATTGAGCCACAGCCCGAGCTCAGTTGCAAAATGCATTGTATATATGCAACACCTCGCATGTGTACTTACCTAGAGGTGGGTTGCTACTGTTGATAGTCAAGTTTAGTGCCATGTCGTTCCTCCTGGTCTGCTTGTAATGGCCCTGTCACACTTCCAGCATCAAACTACTTTGCGGCCACAAAGCTGCTCAGCGCCGCCTTCTGCGAGTGAGAGCACAGCACTAGAATGATCCGGGAAACCTGAACCCTGAAACAATGGTTCCGGTTATTTTCGAATGCTGTGTTATTAGGGCCTTTCGCACCGCAGGAACCTTTTCATAGTACCAGAACTAATTGTGTGCCCCCTGCGTGCTTCTTTTGAAATTGGCAATCATAATGTTGAAAAACAATAAGGTGCTATAGTAAAATTATACGGTAGAGTTTCCAGTCACCTTTCGCTTTTGTTATTGTGAATGGTGACTGACGCTGTCAGTTACTTTTTGTAATATAGGTTTGTAATACAGATGTTTAAAGTCTATTAACGTAAATTACAAATCTCAAATCTTAAATATGATAGAAAGGGTCACAATTGTGAGATATACAAATTTGAAATTATGAGAATAGGCATGTGACACATTGCAAAAGAGACATGTAAATCCCTGTGCTTCCTAAAGGAGGCGCTGTACGCCTTCAAAATGCATCGATCGATTTTAGTTCAGGTGTCAATAAACTGAAAGTAGAAGACATATATTTGTATGTAAAGATGTTTTGGAATTAAGTAGATATTTTAGCTGTAAGGTCTTGAGAAATGTATGAAGCCTAGTTCTACTGACAATTGCATTGTTGTAGAGTACAGTGCAGTGTCAAGCCTACATTCATAATTTGATTTCACTTTCACTTTTTAGGCATTGGATTTAGCTTTATTTAACCTTTTAGCAATTGTAATATACCTTGAAACGGCATTATAATTTGAATCCCTCACACTCTTTCTTGACCTGGGAAATAAATCATTACTATATTACTGTAAAATGAAATTATGATACTATTAGCATAAATATATAAATAAATGGCAACCTGCAAATACAAATGAGACCTCAGCCAACTCAGCCTATGGTGTAGGCCTATTGGTAATACATCATCATGAAGGAATGGCAAAACCTGATATATGCAATAATAGTCAGAAAAATATATTTTTTAATTTAATTAAACATTTTTTTTTTATGGAATGGTTTATTAAACCTTAAAAATAAGATGAAAACATATAATGCAATGCAGTACATTGATGATTTAGAGATCAAATAAACATTGTATCATATCTGATACACACATTTTTGCATGAAAAAAAAAGTATAGATCAAGTAAACCTAAGTTGCTTCGGAAAAACAACAGGTTTTTCAGCAAGTTTTGATCATGATGTTGATAATTTAGAGCAGGGGTACCCAAACTCGGTCCTGGAGGGCCGGTGTCCTGCAGAGTTTAGCTCCAACCCCAATTAGACACACCTGAACAAGCTAATCAAGCTCTTACTAGGCATGCTAGAAACTTCCCGGCAGCTATGTTGAGGCAAGTTGGAGCTAAACTCTGTAGGACACCGGCCCTCCAGGACCGAGTTTGGGCACCCCTGATTTAGAGGCTTTGAAATATGATCTGATACTTTTAGTTCATAAATAATGTGCAAAGTAACAAATAGCAATCCATCAACAATCCATCTCCACACATTTTTTTTTTTCAAGCTAGTTTTGTTTTTGTTTACTTTTGTTTTCAGCCTCTATTGATTTTGCCTTAATAACTATAAAGACATAAAGACCCTGAGCTTAGCTTAGGTACAGCTGACAGAAAACAGCACATCATGATGCTGAACCTCTATCCAGCTGATACCATAACTATCTGATTTGTTTTCATCCACGGTCATTAATCTACCTGGCAGTGCAATAACTCCTCGGACCAGCTCTCATACTTCTCTCGTCCATCATGACAGATTTGTCTGAGTATATATGTGGTAAATTGTCATTATTTCCCCATGTTTTTTGGTTAAAGATTAATGAGATAAAGACATAAAGTGCTTTTCATGCAGTCAATGAAAGTGCCTCTCCTACGCTGTACTTCATTAGAGCCCATCCAGCACATGCTCTACTCCCACCAACAAAGCTCTAACAGGTTGGAAGCGCATTTGCATTCACTCCTAGTGAGACTCTGGCGGTAATATGCAGCATCAGATTTTTTTTTTTCTTTCCAAAAGCAAGAGACATAAAATTCCAATAATGCCTGATGCCACAGCAGGTAGGCTATACCACAGACTGATGAGATATGGAAATGTGACTTGTTTGTTCAGTCAGGTCTGCAGTCGCAGCTGACATTTTCACACATAAAGCCAGTGTATGCATATTAATCTCTTGAACGATTCCATATGTGAAATCACAGAAGCGGTAGAGAGGGGGGGAAAAATCCCCTCTGAATTACGCAAGACTGCTGTGTAATGAATGCGAAGCTAATAGCTGCAAGACAGAAGCTTCTTATTCATTGACATTGGCAACAAATGTACTTTTTGTACTGCACTGCATAAAAATAAGGTTCTTAATCAGCATCAATGGTTTCGTGAAGAACCTTTAACATTTATAAAACCTTTTCACTGCACAAAAGATTCAATGGAAAAGGGTTCTGTAGATTACACTAGGACAAAAATGGTTCTTTTAAAGGGATAGTTCACCCTAAAATGAAAATGATATTATTATTTACACACTCTCCACTTGTTCCAAACCTGTATAAGCTTCTCTCTTCCGTTAAACACAAAAGTTAATTATAAGATGTCTCTGAAAGTTATTATATGCTCTTACACACAGAAGCAAGGAATATGTATATATGGAATGTAAACTTCTATATTCTGTATGGGAAATACAGTACTATTCACACAATAATTTGCCATATTTATACCTACCAACATGTTACTTATTTTAGTCCTTAATGATTATTATTAAAAATAATAACAATAATAATAATAATTATTATTATTATTATCATTATTATTTTAAGTTATTTTCAGTGTTATGTCCTTAATGTATAATCCACAAATATTATCATTTTTTCTTTTTATTTTATTTTATTAATATATATTGTTAATATTGCTGTTTTTAAAGTAATCTTTCTTTCAATCCGTTGTATTGATTCCTCCTTAATAAAAAATCAATAAAAGACAGCAGCATTTTAGAAGTGAGATAAGAAAAGAAATTGCGGGAAGAGTTTCTTTCTTCCTTCTTTTCCCATGTTAACTACATTGCAGACTTGACAACATCTTCATTAGACCTCATATCGAGTATGTAATTACCGAAGAAGTGAAGAGCCTTTTGAAAGATCAATCTTGGCGCCGTAATTGTCTTGTCATCTCATTCAGATGGGAGGTCCATGTGAGAGGAGAGAGAAATTGCTTTGTCAGCTACACTTTGTCATTTTCTCATCTGGTAATAATGGAGTCACTCGAAGACATTAATGCACTTGTTCACTTTCAGATTTTTTATTTTTTTTGGAAAGATTGAGCACAAGGTTTTAGTCTTGTTGTAATAGGCCTACCTGAAGTACTCAAACAATCAATAAAAGACAGCAGCATTTTAGAAGTGAGATAAGAAAAGAAATTGCGGGAAGAGTTTCTTTCTTCCTTCTTTTCCCATGTTAACTACATTGCAGACTTGACAACATCTTCATTAGACCTCATATCGAGTATGTAATTACTGAAGAAGTGAAGAGCCTTTTGAAAGATCAATCTTGGCGCCGTAATTGTCTTGTCATCTCATTCAGATGGGAGGTCCATGTGAGAGGAGAGAGAAATTGCTTTGTCAGCTACACTTTGTCATTTTCTCATCTGGTAATAATGGAGTCACTCGAAGACATTAATGCACTTGTTCACTTTCAGATTTTTTATTTTTTTTTGGAAAGATTGAGCACAAGGTTTTAGTCTTGTTGTAATAGGCCTACCTGAAGTAGTCAAACATGAACAGCAGATGGTGGTGTGTGACTTTTGGTTTATGGCTGTTGGCTTTCGCTGTACTTTTCCACACTGGAACAGCAGCTTGAAGGACGGCACGTGTACACAAAAAACCCAGCCATGCACGGTTTCCTAAAAACTATATTGAGAATGCAAAATATTACTCCTAAAACATCACTAAACACTAAAAAAACATTTTGTGTTTTTCTTTAACTGTCTGAACTGCAGTAGCTAATCCCATTTCAAGCACAGCAACATTGACTTTACAGGTTACATGACCTTTATTTGGCTGGGATACAGCTTTTAAACTTAAATTCTGTCTGACGGCCAGGTGTTAGAGACCCGCATTGAGTTTTTGTACGGTCGCCTGCAGCAGGGTTTAACACAAAAATGCAGCACCAGCACTGGCAATATCACTTGAGCCTTGGATTTCAGAAGTCAGCTTCTAAAAAGATCTCTCCACTTTTCTTGGTACAGAGAGAGAATTTCTCCTGTTTGCTGGGGTTACATCTGTTGTTTGAAGAGATTGGAATTTCAAATCTTGATATTACATTTCAATATTCATTCAAGGGCTAGATTTAGATGGTTAGCGTGGACCAGTCAGCCTGTGCTGATAAATAAACCATTATGGGGACAAAAGAATCCACTGATGGCAATTCTGACAAACACAAAAAATGTGAGCAACGTATTGTATGCATTACACATATTGTATTATAATCTTTATTTTTCCAGTGTCAGACTGATTTTTGGAGGGCTTAAAAGTGAAATTGGACTTGTATAAAATTGGTATTTTCACATCACAGCTCAGTATAGTTTCTATTGAAGAAATATGGTACTTGTGGTGCCATCAGCCAATCAGATTTGTCATGACGTCATTGCTCTGAGAGATTAGTCACATGGCATTTACACCTCAAGTGATTGGCTTAAAAACCTGCTTAGAACAGAGTGCCTAATGGTGCCTTCAAGTCCTGGGAAGTTCGTATTTACAAGTTGGGAAGTCATTATTACGACGTCAGGTGCATTCTAATTATTTTGATCAAGCAAGGTGGCAATGTATTTCTACAAAAAAAAAAAAAAAAAAAAATCAGCAAGATTTTCTAACTACTTGTACAAAATGATGAATAAAGAATGCACATCAGGTGAGTTTTTGTTATGTATTTATCCAATTTATGAAGGTTTTGTAAATTAAGTATTTATATGTTCTATGTATGCACTGTAAAATATGATGGTATTTTGTACATGCAACTTAGTTTTATTGTAAATGAAAAAAAAA